CCGTAGCCTCGTTGCTGTTAACCGGTGGGGCTGCCGCGGCCTGATCCCGGTGCGCGCGTTGCGACACACCGGGGAGGGTCGGCTCACCGTCCGGAGTAGCCGAAGCTAAAGCCGCTGAAGCAGCTGGAGTTGAGAAGTTGCACCGCGCGCGGCGCGCTGACCTTGTCGAGTGGGTCCCCAAGCCAACCACAGCGCCTTCGCGCCGACGCATCAAGCTGAGTAACGCTGCGGGCCTCCAAGCGACGCCTTGATGCACGTCATGACGTCATGACGTCATGGGTCAACTTCTCGCCGTCACACTGGTTGTTGGACACATAGCGCAAGCAGAGCTCCACCTTGTTGAGCGCGGGTACCAAACCGTTAAGAGACTAGATGGCGCGGCTGTAATAATGGGAGAACCAAAACGGAAGCTAGCCGCGTCATTCGCCAGAGCCAAGCGGAAGCACAGAGACATCCAGTCGAGCAACAGAGCCACGTAGTCGGTAGTGGTTGTTATAGTTGTTATCGACACACACCAGGTGTCGGAGTGGGTGCTCGTCTTTGAGACAATCTGCTGCACCACCGCCGCCCAGTATCTCGGTGCGAATCGAGAGCGTGCCCAAAGCCCCGGCTAGGGTATCCGTCGTCACGCCGTGGGGGTGATGCTTGAGCGGCTCGCGACGGTTTGGTCATTGAAGTGTCCATGTGGATCTGCGTCTGATTGTCGATCTCGGCGTGCGTACGGCGTTGCAGATGCGCAAGAGACAGGAAACCGCTCCCAAGCTCGAAGATGTACCGAGCCCGCAAGACTGCCAGGTGCTTGTAGAAGAGAAGTTCCCGGTCCACGTCGAATTGCTTCCACATACTGCTGCAGCGACCAGCCAGCCGTGTGCACGTTGGCTTTGAAGGGGTGGAGACCGGATGCTGTCGAACTCATCGCGAGATTCGTGCGCTGGCGATGGTTCCAGGCCTCTTCTGTGTCTTGGCCATCTGACGGGCAGTAGCCGCCGCCGAGCCAGCATACGGGGGGCGTGTGGTGCTCCCGCAACGGCCGGTAAACGTTCAAGCGGGTCTTTCCAGAACGTCGCACCGACGGCCGCATCCTCCCGGCGCCCGTGACATTCCACGGCTAGAGAGGAAAGAAGTCGGCGACGTGCTGGACTGATCGAGTCGTGCGTTCGCCAGTCGCTGGTGCGCGGATCTCGAACCGAGTGTCCGCTGCGGGCGTCGCGTCGAGTCTTCAACTCGGCTGCGCATGGTCTCGAGCAATGTGCTTTAGCTGTGAAGCGTCGCGTGGCCGTGGCGCCGTTGCCGAGTTCATCCTCAATTCGCCACAAATCCGAGGCTCCAACCGGGTGGCCCCGCTACACCTCATCCGCTCCGACGTCGAAGGCGCCACTGGCGTTGGCTAACGTGAGAGTCTTGTCGGCCCATCGCGCCGCTACAACTTGTCCCACCGTCGCCGAGTCGTCGTGGCGAAAGAAGACAAACCGACGCAACCACGCGCCCCAGTTGGGTCGGGCCTCGCCCACCGATGCGGGCGCGAGCACGCACTAGTCCTTCGGTACCGAGAGCGAGGTCTCGGACGGTCGTCTGTTGGCAAGGTCGCGAACGTGAGCACCTTTAGGCCGCGTCTCGCACTAGCCACCTCCGTGATGCAAGCGTACACCGGTCAACCGAGCGCGCCGTTGGCGACATGCGAGGCTTGCTCAGGAAGAACCATGTCTGGGGCTTCGTCATGTGCTGATGGCGGCCCATGAGTACCTTTGCTTAGCGGAGATCGGAAACTAGAGATGCTAGGCTCTGGCCACCAGTCGTTGGTTTCGCTGAGCCGCCTTCTCTTGAAAAGTCCGTTTCGACTCCTTGCAGGCGCGAAACACCCATTTTCAGATTCACGACATCCTTGAAGATTTGGGCGACCGTGTCGTCACGGGCCTCACCCGCGACCACAAGCGTCTTAGAGCGATGACAGAAGAGCCAGACGAGCCCCCGCGCCGCCGCCTGCGCAGCCACGGACCGGCAAGCGAATGAAGAAGGAGATAGCTAGTCTCTACGTATGCGAAGTCTTTGTGTAATGATGTAGATAACGCGAAACACATTCATA